AGAAGCACTTTTGAGTCATCACATCAGGAAAAGGAGAATTTAGTGCAGAAATAACTGAATTATTGTAAATAGATATTTAAAGCAATAACTGAAATGTTTTCTGGGAAAGTAACCTGAAGTGCCTTGTTTAATTGTGTTGAGTGGTTGTAAGGAAATGCTCTAATAAAAATCAGTTTGTTTGCAAACAATTGTCAAAAAGAAGCAGCAAATGGTTTTCTGCAAATTCCTGGGAAACCAACAGAAAAGTAACAGATAAGGTGCAATCCAAGAGCCAGTTTTAGCAGGATTGCTGGAATATTGCTCAATTAACCAAAATTAACTGAGCTGTATTTGGCTACAGTTGTAAAGGAATGAAGGCAATGCAGGTGGAACGACAAAAGCATTTTGATCTTGGTTCTGTGCCAGGAAAACCTTGAGAATATGGTCTGAAAAGACAGAAAATTTAGGGAAAGGATACTCAGTGAAAAAGGGTCAAAGAAATTGACCTAAAATCATCAATCTTAAAACTGGAGCACGGAAAGGATCTTAGAGTCTCATTAGGGACCAGCCCTGTGATATCAGAGTCTCTAAACCTTGATTTTTTCCTCTTTCCCTTGCAGTTAAAGGAGTTTTCAGCAGGATGGATTCCTTGGGACTCACCTGGGGCTGTTCTCAGGCTCCTCTCTGTGCTCACATCCCCGAGGCTGCTGAGCTCCAGGAGCTCCCAGGGATGCTCAGGCTGGGATTTTTGGGGACAGGAACTCTACTGGGTGATTTTTATGGGTCCCTTCCCACTCAGGATATTCTATGACTCTGTAATCCTATTCTAACACTAATATTCTCTGATAAATTCATTTCCTTCCAGTCACAAGTGCTGAATGCTCCTGAAATTGTTCAAATCTTGTCATTTATGTTTCAGATGCTGTGTTCCAGTGGCTCACTGCATTACCTTCTCTGTGCTCCTGGAATTGGCTGCGCTCTGTGCATGGCAAAAGATTCTCAGGCTCCACTAAGGGTGCTGTTAATTCACATTCAGGGCAGCTTTCACTCTCAAATATGCTGCTACAAAGCAGATTTTTCCTAGGGCTGGGTGAACCAGCACAGGTATTAAATTGGAACTAAATCTTATTACCTGTGTTGTAACAATTTTTTCCCAAGGTAATAATGAGGAGATTTTTTGCATTTCAAACAATTAGTTGCTCTCTTTTAGGCTTTCATAAATATCAAACTATTCCTAGATTTGTTTATAATTTAGGACTTTCCATAGATCTTTGAATTTCATCCTAACACTGACTTGCAAGCCCATAAAATCACACCAACAAACTCCAGCATATTCAGCTCGGTGTGTTCATTTAATTTCTCCCTGTTCCTTTCATTAAAAAAAAAATCAATTTCTATCCACATTCATCTAATGAAAGAGGGCACCTCAGGGCACATAATCCAGTGCTCGTCCTGCTCGTTAGAGATCACAATCTGGAGCTAACTTTCTGATTAAAATACATTTTCCCTGTTCTTTCATGTTATCATTTGTTTCTGACTCAGCCAATGGTTCAGTGTTTGCCACAGACTGTGATTAAGGATGGGTGAGCCCAAAAAAGATAAAACAAGAACAAGCCTGAACTCTTACCTGGAACTTATCTCCTGTGGCACTTTTTTTTTTAAGTCAGGTAAGTGGGTGGTGAATTATTGGAGAAAAAATTAGTTGAACTTTTGATTCAGCAGCTGTTGGTGGAAAAAATGGCATTAGCAAATGCTTCCAAAATAAATCCCACAAGTTTCTTCCCTCAGTTTGACTTTATCTTGTGTAGACTTGTGTGTATGGACAGGTAAATAAAGTGTTTTGTGAAAGAGCTACTGAGATAGACAGGAAATGGTTCATTGTATGGAGAACTGTCATTTCCAGAGTCCCATTCTGATTTTATTGGGAAAATTGTGTTACATTTCCCATGCAAGTTTTAATCTTGAGCACACACTTCATTGAATTAGAAATCATCCTTAAATCACAGAATATTCTGGGCTGGAGGGGACACACAAGGACTGAGTCCAGCTCTGAAGTGAATGATCCAACAAGCTCAGGGTTATTTCACACCCTGAACTGAGGCAGAGCTGGCCCAGGCTGGCTGCAGGACCAGCTGGAGAAGATTCTGAAAATTGCACACAAAAATTGGAGACCTGCTGATAACTGCATCCAACAACCCCACTGCCTTTGGGGCTGGTGGAGATGCCCAGAACAAGATGTTCTTCTAAGAAATCAGTGTTCAAAGAGGTCCAATGCCTTTAGTAAGAATTAAGTAACATTTCTGACCCTCTTTTCATCACAGGCTCATTTCTTCTCTGAGGGCATGATTGTTAGGAAACACAGCATTTCACAAAATTAACACAGAAATTGGAAATGGGTGTTGATATTTGGAAAAGACTAAAATTTATGCTGAGTATAAAGACTACAATTTATGGGGAGCTAGGGGTGAGCTCAGTGATATAATCAGAATAAGAGGAGGCACACAGGGGGTCAATGTTACACAGAAAAGCCACAGCAAGGAAAATTTAAGTAGTTCAGTGGGCAAAAAAGCTCCACATTTTATGGTCTTCTAAAATAGTCAGAATTTCAGCGTCAGGGATTCCCCCATCCTTTTCTACACGTGCAGGATTGGCAGTGCTGTGGACAAGTGTTGGGGAAGATGAAACAGGAAAGCTTCATCAATATGATTGTCTAGTAAAAGATTTTGAGAATATGGAATCTATAAGCGAGATTGAAATGAAAGCAAGCTTTGAGATCCCTCAGTTACTGAACAACTGGAAAACAATGGCATGGCCAGCTGAAGGTGATCCCCTTTTGATGGAACAACACCCTCTGCTTGCAGACAGGCCCAAGGGTCAGAGCAGACCCTACAGCTTGGCAGAAGGGGCCCAAAGAGGAATTTGTAGGGTTTAAAATGTAACACAATATGGTAATGTAATGATTCTTATAGGCTGTGTGTAAATGCTGTAGGATTTGTATCTTGTACTAGATTGGTTAGTGAGAATTAGAATATTCAACATAGAAGATTTATGGTATTGTAACGGGAACCTCGCTCTCTTACCCTCTCACCCTCTCTGCCCCTCTCTTCTCTCGGCCTGCTCTGAGCTGTGTTTGGCAGCTCCCAGCAGGGCCCTGCACCCAGGCCCTTTGCAATAAACCCCAAGTTCCAAACCTTGCTCCAGAGATCTCTCATCTCCATCTGTCCCCACCTTCCTACCCCCAACGCTCCTACAGAAGAGGAAACAGGAAAAAATCCTGACCCACACCATCACAGAATATCCTGAGATGGAGGGGACTGAAGGGATCCCCCAGCTGAGCTCCTGTCCCTGCCCAGCCCCCCCAGCAGCCCCACCCTGGGCACCCCTGGCAGCGCTGTCCAAAGGCTCCTGGAACCAGGGAGAACTGAGAACTCTAATTTTCCAGTTAAGTGAGGAAGGATGATTTATGAGATCTTCCAGTCACATTATTTGCATCACGCTGTTTCATGTACAGAAGTCCATAGGCATGTAATACTCCATTGTGGCCTCTATGCCCTTCAGTTTCAGGCTAACCTAAAANCTGCCCAAAGGCTCCTGGAGCTCTGGCAGCCTCGGGGCCGTGCCCATTCCCTGGGCAGCCTGGGCAGTGCCAGCACCCTCTGGGGGCAGAGCCTTGCCCTGAGCTCCAGCCTGAGCTGCCCTGGCCCAGATTCACACCCTCCCTTCACAGAGTGGTGTGCCCATGGAGCCAGGGAAGGGCCAGCTGGGAGGAGATGTGTTCAGAGAATATCACCCAAAATTCCCAGGCAATCCCTTTTAATCCTTACAAGCATCTTTGCTCCTGAGGAGGATCCCAGCAGGAGAGGTTTGTGCTTCATGGCCCCTCAGACATGTTTAGGTGAGTCTTACTTTCTAAACCATCCAACAGAAGAGTGATTTCATCTTTTATCCTGGAAGACAGACCTGAAAGTTCAAGATTAATTTTCCTCCTTCCTCCTCTGCCACCACCTCCCCAACAGCAGAACCCGAGGGAAGCAGAAACCCAGAACACAGAGGGCTGGGGCATAGGATTTTGGTGTTAGGGAAGGAAAATCTGTCCTAATGAGAATACTTTGACTGTGATCTTCTCTTTTTTTTTTGCCACAAGCCTCGGGTTCCAGGGTACTGAGAGACAACAAAGAGCCCTGGAAAGGTCCCAGCTGAGCACTCTGTGTGTCACTGATAGCTCCGGGATGGGAAGCAGGGAAGCCCTGAGCCTCACACAAGTGCTTGGGTTATCTGTACACACAGACAGCCACGTAATCTCTTTTTATCTGATCTGAGAAGAAAGGGAATCCCTCCTGGGTTGTCCTCTTCGGGCTTTTATCTCTCCTATTTTAGTTTGGGGTTTTTTTTGTTTGTGTTTTTTTTTACAAAGACTCAGGCAACGATTCTGCTCACTTTTCTCATTAATTCCCCACGCTTCTGCCTGCAGCTCTTCAGAGCAGGAGGGCAAAAGGATGAAAAAGAGATGACAGCTTGAAAAAAATGGGAATATGCCAGATCCTCTGTTTGTGTAAATCTGAATTTTGCAGTTGATTCCAGTAAAGTGGGGTCTATTTACACCAACATTAAACCCATTAATTTCTGTAGGAGTCCCTGGAATTTAAACCCTGCTTCTGATTCCCCCGATTTCACGTAAGCTTGCTACTATTTCACAACGTTCAAAAAATGGGGGTGAGGGGATTAATAACTCCTGATAATGCACTCCGCTGATGCTGTAGGGAAAATATTCTGCTTTCTGAGTCATTTGCCCTGAGCTGACTTTCTTTTTGAATGGTTCAGGGGGTTTCCTTCTTTAGCCATAAATCCCATGCAAATTCTTTTTGTGTGTGTGTATGTGTGTGTGTGTGTGTGCCTGTGGATGACAGTGTGAGTGTGTGAGTGTGTGCGCGCCAGAGAGAGAGAGAGAGGCTGTTCCTTTAAAGCAAAACTGAAAAAAAAAATGCCTTCAGGCGTCCTATTACAGTGGAACGAGCCAAGGATCAGGATTTGCAGCTCAGCTATATAAACCCAGCAGAATCTGGCTGCTCTGACCAGTTTGCCTTGCTGTCAAAGCTCGCTGCCTTGCGCTCGCACACGGCACCGGACAACGCAACTTCGCCGAGTTTTGACAGGACGGCAACAAGAGTCAGGAGAGCCCAGCTGGCTTTGAACAGAGTATTTATTTCATGGAGGCTGCTCACAGCGGGATCTAAGCTCTGGCACAGTCTCTAAGGTAAGTCTGCTTCCTCCCTGAATTAAAAAGTCCTCTTGCACACGAGTTTGCGGTGACCCCGTGCTCTGGCATTGCCCTGGTGGCTCTGGCTGCCAGGTCAATGGGCAGGGATGCTGGTAGGGAATCGTTTTGGACTGGAGCATGCCTGCCCCAAAATCTGTCTGCATTGTCCTGTGCAGGAATGTCAAAAATGTCCCAATGGGCAGGGATGCTGTTAGGGAATCATTTGGGATTGGAGCATGCCTGCCTCAAAGTCTGTCTGCATTGTCCGGCACAATAATGTCAGAAATGTCTAAATGACATCCACCCGACCCAATGAATGAATGGAGCAGGAGCTGGCTGGGTGCTGGACATCCTCACAGAGCCCAGATTGACAGGCAGGGCAGGAAAGCAGATTTGGGATTTCCTTTTGGCTCCTGGCATGCTATAAATGTTTCCCCCAGCCTCACCTCCCAAACCAGACTAAATCCACTCGCAGGTTTTAACCCTCCCAAGCACAACTCCTCTTGTGCTCCTGTCCGTGACCTGATGAGAGGTGGGTCCTTCCCACTGGTCATTTGCTGTCCCCACACTTTTTTTCTTTGCACCAAAGCCTTTGTCACCTTCCTCCCTGCCCCCACTGGTCTCCAGTTTCTTTTAAAAGTCCTGTAATATTAGCCTGCAGTGGGGAGCAAGGCACAAAGGAAGATTCAACTGGTATTTCATTACCCCAGCTTTGCTGGGTGGGTTCTGGGAGAGGGAGGGTGAAATTCTCCATCCTTATGGAAAAACAGAGGCACTTGCTCCGTGTCTCAGCTCCTTGCTCCCTGGTGCACTGAGATTTTCTGCATGACTGTGTCTGCACTCACCAGCGAGGCTCAAATTGGCTTAAAAAGGAGAAGCTGGCTGGGAGAAGGTGAACACACTTAGATTCATTTACGAGCTAAACTCACTCACTCAGGACTTTGTGTTACATCACCTTTGCAGAGTTTTCCCTGCCTGATTTTCTGTCTGGCTACCAGGACAGAGAAGTTTTTGGCAGTTAACCTAAACTCCTGAAAAGTCAGTCTCATACTATGGAAAGGAATGTTCGGATTGAAATGATGCTGATGTGTCGTGCTGCACAGTGGAAATCTAAAATTAAAAAGCAAACTAAAAACATTTATAGAAGTTTTTCTTCATGACAAAACAGAAAACAATGAGGTGGATGGGATTCTGTGATCTGGGTAAAAGCCTTGCTGTCCAGCTCTTGGGTTTGGTTTTCTCTCCTGGTTTAATTTTTTAAGATCATATTAAATATTAGGAATTCTTTTTACACACTTTCTGATTAATGTTCCATGTGGGGTCTGTTTTATTGTTCTGGGTTTGTTCATTTGTCTTTTAAAGCTGTGAAATCATGGAATGGTTTGGGTTGGATGGGACCTGGGAGATCATCCAGCTCCAGCCATGGGCAGGGACACCTTCCACTGGACCAGGTTGCTCAGTTTAGGAGTGCTGGAGTCCAAAAATGAGGTGGACAATGGGGATTAGGGACCATCCTTTCAATGCCAGGGAAACTTGCAGAAATGTGATGGCTTTTGGGTTGTTGGGAACACAGGGGAAAATTGAATACGAAGAAGTTTGGCCAGATGAAAGTGTTTAGCCAAGAGAAGATAACAGGTCTGTCTGCAGCCCAGCTTCCCTGGCAGGGAATTTGGGGAGCAGCTGGAAGAGCTATCAGGGTGCTCCCAGTGCAGGTTCTGCCCCGTGCTCAGGGAAGGATTTGCCCCTGAACTGAGCAGTGAGATGGGACAGGAGTGACAAGGGCTGTGCCTCCCATCACTGACACAGTCACACTCTCCCAAACACCAAACCTGCATTCACCTCCCATATTTTTTGCTCATTAATTTTATCCTCTGGCTCCTTTCAGCCCAGAGAAATTTCTTTGCAAGTTCCAGCCCTTAATCCTGTCACTAGAGTTACTTTATCAGTGTTTCCAGAGCCCTGGAAGAGCCAAAGGATCTGCTGCAAAGCCCCCAGCCTGCAGATGAGAATGTCAGGTCTCATCTGGAGAGAAAGCAGAAATTCTGCTACAGAAATCACTGATGGTGGTCATGGGCACATGGAAAAGACAAACAACCAGACCCAAATCTCCTGTTGAAATAGTGATGCTTAATGGTGTTAGAATTACTGGGAAAATCCCTAAGCACAGGTTAAAATGTGCTCCACAGATTCTGAGTAACTGTTAGCTGGAGACTTTTTGAAAGCCATCCTCTTTTATTATCCCAGCTCTTTAAAACTGAATCATTTCTCCTCAGTATTCACTCAAACTTAACTATCATGTTGCTCTAACATCATTTCTAAAGGTGTTTGACATTCAGCTTTTTTCACATTAGTGCTTTTTATAAAATACCTAAAAAAAGCCAAAGAACTATTCATGGGTGAAGACGTTCTGACTTGCTATAAAGAGACTGTCAAAGTTTGTTCTTGAGCATTGTCTCACTTTTTTGATAAGTAAATGAGATTAAATGGTAGGGTCTATGCCTTTTGGGACTCTCATCCTTTTCAAGAGTCAGGCAGAACTAAAAAGCAGAAGTGTCTGTGAAACAGTGATGCTGCTTTGGAGCCAGAGCTTTAACCCTTTCATCCCTCCTGGCAAAACCATTTGGAAAACCACCTTGGCCAGTTCTGTGCTGGTTTCCTTGTACAACACCACAGTGCCTCTGTCTACCCAGCCCTGTAGGATGTGCCTAAAGGTTTAAGTGGTGCTGATGGCATTTAATTGTCCTGGGTTGAACAAGGGGTGTCTGGTGGAAGTGGATGTGAGGGAGAAAGAGTTTCCATCCAGTCCTGCATCACTTAGAGAGCCCTGGTATCCCTGGAGGAATATCACCTTTGGAAGGAAGATTATTGCACAGGGTGGTGGCTTGGTTATCAACTACACATCCACCTGTCCTACCTCTGTACCATGAGAAATCCAGAGTGCTTAAATAATTACTCTCACTTGAAGCCCGTGACTTGATAAATTCCTCCTTGGCCTCGTGCCACCACAGTCTGCTAAGCTGAAGGGCCACTGACAGTTTTAAGGTCTAGTGGCTCATAAAACTCCAGCTTAGGAGTGGATGATTTACATCCCTGGAAAGTTCGAAATCTCAGCTTTCCAATAATAAAAGGAATTTGTTTTGAACTGTGTCAGTTTGAGATGCAGGGCTTTGAAGCTGGGCTCTGATTTACCAACGTGTGCTTTCTCAGACTTAATTACTGGTGTGAGTTTAGCACACCCTGCTCAAAGACTGAGCTCTGATCTAACCCTGTGGTTATAAACTGCAGACATCTGAAACTACTGTAAAATGTAATAGCTGCTCTTAGTGGTTTTCAGGAAGCTGCTGATGTCATATTGCTGAAAAAATCATTGTTGCTGAAGTGGGAAACTAAGGAAGACAGCAATCTAAGTGAAATAAGTTAATGTTTTGTCACCTACCAGGCTCAGAAATCTTCAAAACTGCAAGCAATTATAGGATTAGTAACTAATGAGTTCTGGACAGGAAGCACCATAACCTGAGGTCATGAGCTCAAAATTAGGAATGTGTACAGATTGCTTATGAGTTTTTAAGATGCAATTTAGTTCATTAAACTGTTTCATATTAAAGAGGACTAGTTGTCCATGGCTTTGCTTGGTTGATGTTGTAATAATTGCTCCAGCGTTTTAAAGCCTCACTGTATTAGGAATGAAGGGGTTTAATAAATTATGCTCCCTGCCACAAAGAATCTGCAATTCCTGTTATTAGCTATTCCCCCAAAAATTCTTTGTATAGTGAAGAGAAAAAAGGAAATAAGAAGACAGTTCTTTGAGGAAGGGGACTGCTGGAAAGCAGAGAAATGAAGAACCCTGAGGGACAATCTTGAGTGGTCGCAGTTTCCACCGAGCTGAGGGTTTCCACAAGTGTGAAACCTCTGTGCTCGCTGTCCACTCGTGTGTCTGACCCTCTGGCCAGTCAGAGCTGCAGCTAAAAGCCTTCCACATGTGGGAAAAGTTAGAGGCTGGGCATGATTCCAGCCCCTGAAATCCCTGAGTGCATGATGTAACCCCACGGTGTGGAAATGGGCAGACTGGAGGAGGAGTCAGTGGGATCCTGCCTGACAAGGGGCGGCTCTGGAGCCTGCAGGAAGCGTCTGGGCACTGAAAAGAGGAATAGATGGGGATCCTTCTGCTAAAAGGGCAAAGTTTGAATGATTTAGTGTCACTTTTTAGCATTGAATGAATGATAGATGCGCCATTATAACTAGAATTGTCCTTAGTGTAAGATTTTCCTGGGTTTCTAAATGCATAATTTCTTTCTCCTATATGCTGCTTGTGCTGTTGCTGACCAAATAACATCAAAAAACCTCCACCTATAGCTTCAGAGAGCATATCCAGATGTAGAATTTGAATAATACTTATTAATATAAATTATACCACCCAACACAACCCCTCCTAAACAAATGTGGAGTCAATGGGAAATAGCTTCCCATTTATATCCTTGTTTGACTTAGCCAATCACCCAAGACAAATCCATCCTGAGCTGATCTCGTCGCAAGAAATTTCTCTGAGCTCCCATCCTTAATTGTCTGCAGTTTCAATTAAACCAAGGTGGGCTGGTGCCAAGTTTCCAGCACTTCCAAGGGGAGAGCCCCGGTGCCCGAATAGGCAGTGGCATTTTGTATTCTTTGGGGAGCGGAGGGCAGCGTTGCCAAGTTTGCATTCAGTCATCCATCACATATTAGCCCACTGGAGGTCCATTCTTCCCAAGCAATGGGGGAGCCCTGCTTCCTACTTTGAAAGATTACTCCCACAGAAAGGCCTTTCCCCAAACCCAGCAGAGAAAGGAAGCTTTTCTTCGATTCATACAAGCGCTCCCTTTCCAAGCTCCCCACAAAAATGATATTGTTTCATGCTCAGAAAAAACATATTCTCTTCAGCAATTGAGGAGAAAGTGCAGGGTGGTAGGGGAGAAACCTTAAATACAGATTTTTCCTAAAGTGCTTGCTTCAATCCTGGGCTC